AATCGTTACGATTATGTTCCACTTCCATTTCGGCCGCGCTCGATGTTCGTAATTTGGAGAAGAGATAATTGCTGCCGGAAAATGCCAGGACGTTGACTAATGCACCACCGACAATCATGGCGATCGTAGCCATTCTTTTTATATTATGTGTTTTTTAATATTACTTCAAAATATTTTCCGGTAAAATTCCTTGTTTCAATAGAATGTCCTCGGTGGCCATCGCCATCCCTAAGTCCATGACGAGCATGCCCATGTCCTGCATGTTGAAATCGAGTTTGATCGTAGGCTGTTTGAGAACAATTTTCGTTAAGCGAGCGTAACCTATGCTTAGTCCGGCGACCACGGCGGCATGATATGCATCGTTGACGAATGTTTTTCCTTCGGACGACATCATGTGCATATAATATATATATTTTCAAACAAAAATTATAAGATAACATAGGGATTTATTTCTAATTGCTTCGTCTGCTGTTGCAGTGGTTGCTTGTGATTATATGGCAGCATAACGACGCCCACCCTTAATCCAGTTGCCACGGCAGCAACAATCCACTGAGTGTAATCGGTATTATTATTATTATTTTTGTGGTGCTTGGCTAAACCACCTTTTCTACCGGCAGCGACTTTTTTAGGATTCTTGATGGTGACTAGTCGTATCTGTGTCGTTGTCGTTGCTTCCTCAGTTGGCGTTGGTGTTTCCTCCTCCTGTTGTGCATCCATGTTGTATATTATTATCATTATTATTTTTTTCTTCTTTAAATTGACAATGCTTTGCCGTGATGATCGCCGCTGTCACCGGATCCAAAAACATCTGTGGTACAGCATGCAGCTAAATGCGCTCAAAGCGAGGTCGATGAACAGATCTTTCTCGAGATCTTCCAACAGGTAAAGTCGACGTTCCGGCAGAATGGGAAGGAAGTACGACGCTATGCCGGCGTAGACCTGCGTTATGACTGACCCTATGGTTTTCGTCATTTCGGCGCCGAGTCTGGCTTCGTATCTCGCGTACAGCTGTCGATTTCTTCGGCTGGCATTTTGTGAATTTTTATCGGGAGTGTCGTCGCCCCCACCCAAGTATTATTTGGCTTTGCCACCGACCGCGAGCGCCACCAGTCTCTCTCGCTTGTCGTTTTTATTATAATCATCATCCAACATTTGTTTGAGCAGTTCGTCGCACTCAATCTTATAATGTAACAAATGATTTTTAAGTCTAACAAAATAAAATGCGACGTACGCAAAACACAGCGAAATGAAAGTCAAGTTGCACACACCGATAGTTTCGAACATCATTTTGCTCGAGAGCTTTTTGAATTTTGCTCGATTTTTGCTTAAGCTAGCAGACTCTATACCCAACCGGTTTGTCGGTTTTCAACAGGAGTTTGGCAAGTTTCGTTTCGCGCGCTGTTTCTTTACTTGTTCCCATTCTTGTTTGCTCGGGATCACGCTGTTTTCTCGCAAGCAGTCCTCAAACGAATCCCTGTCCTTGCAGTGAAACAGGACGACCCATCGCGTCTGTATATCTTTTAGAACCGAGCTGAATTTCTGCGTCAAAACCCAAACGCTCTGTTTCATGTGTCGGTGCGAGAAGGTCAGGTACGATAGAGCGTCTCGTTTTTTAACCATCTCCTTGTCGGCGCTGCAGTCATCCAGGATGAACAGCATATCTCCTTTCAGCTTGTTGTGGTAAGTGCACAACCAGTCCTGCAGACGAATTTCCGGATCGATTTTGTGCACGTCCGGATCCGTCATCACCCACAGTCTCTTCGTGTACGTCTTGTTCACCCATAAAGTGGGGCAGAGAATGACGATGTGGTCAAACACATCACGATAGTAACCTCCCAGCATGTCCAGCATGAATGCGGTCTTGCTGCACCCTGTCTGACAACGCATGATGGCGCAGTGGGGATTGCGAGGTAAATCAATAAATGGCTTGCACGAATCTTCCATTGTCTATATTGAGTTGCGCGTCCATAATCAAGTACAAATATAAATTTAACTTGCCGACCGGACTTTGCGCTTTCTTGGTGATTTGGATGGTGATCCACTCGCTGCCATTGTCAATGCGGTGTCTGTCGTCGTACGTGGATCACATGTCCAGCCGCAGCGCGTAATGTTTTTCCAGGCAATCACCAATCTTCACGTAGGGCAAACCCAGTTCTTTGACAACATCGTTGACTTCAGGCGAGTGTTCCTTGATGGCTGGCAGTTTTCTTATCTCATCCAACTGCTGGTGGACTCACATGCCTTGTCTGAACAACTGGTTGGGTGACCTCGACGGTCACTTCCACTTTCGTGATCTCGGGATTGTATTCCGCCACGGGAATGATCACGATGCCTTTCATTGATCGAGCCGTCAAGTTCAGGTTGATGTTCCACAACATGTCGCTCTTGTCCTTGATGATCGTCCGGTGCCTCAGCATGCGATCATACAGGATGAATAGCTTTCCCGAGTACTGGTTGCGAATCTGTCGGGCTAGTACCTCGATCATGACCTTGACGAATTCCAGCGAGATGTTATCACCGATGTAGCTGGCCCCGGTGCCGTCCGGCAGGAAGATAAACTTGCCATAGTTGTTGCACGTGAGTTCGTATTCCAGGCCTGGTAAAACGACATGTGTCCCTTGAGCTGCTCGAAGTTGAGCGATATGCAAAACCTGTTCCCGTACTTTGCCGGTATCCCATCAAGCTGGTCTTGCATGAAAGCTCTTCCCACATGGATGTCGTTCGATTTGCAGGTAGCCCAACAAAGCCCTTGATACAACATGTTATCACGTTCGTTCTCGGTTCTCCACAGGTCCCGCTGATTTTGATGGCGGTTTTCTAGACAATGGCGCGACTCAGGTTGCGCATGATCGTGCGTTTGTCGTTCGTGGACTCCAACGTGATTTGAAAATCCAGTTGAGCCATGTCGGGTTTGATGACATCATTTGCGCCCAGATTGGGGAATCGAACCAACAGTGTTTGGTTTTGATCGATAGTGCTCGGATTGTTGGTGATGGTCACCAACTGACGCACAGCTTTGACACCCAGTGGCTCTCTCGATCTTCAGAAAGGATCTAGCTTTCGTTGGTAGTGCGACATTGTTTATATTGAAACTATGTATATAACTAAGTTTAATATAAAAAATGGCTGATTATATTCAGATGGACGATTTTGACGTCCACCAGCCTCTGCTGAACTACGATGATGCAGCAAAGGACACCTCGTTCATGGACGACACCGTGGGCAACGAACACCTTTAAAGCGGGCCATGGACGATCATAATGATGCCCTTAAGTGCGATAAAAATTACGTCGAACCATTGGGTCGCGACTATCCGAATTTCAAAATCGACAACGAAGGGACGCTGCGATTGAAAGCTCATCCGGAGGTCTATCTCATGAACAAACACACGCGAAAACCGCTCGCCTTGTCAACACTAGCCAGTCGCTGTGGCGGTAGTCAACTGATACGTGACGAACTAAACCTGCGAGATTGTGTCAGCGCACGATCCAAACAACTTCCACCGAAGGTCGTCTGAGATCTGCAAAACGTACAGACCGAACTCGGTGATGCTTGCGCCGCTGATGATCCGAGAGAAATGCCCCAGCATGCCAAAGAAGCGTCAGACGAAATCAAACAAATATATGACGAACCCTTGCCCGGTTTTGAATTTCCTCTTAGGGAACTTCGGGGTCTAGATGAAGCCTTGAAAAACGTGCGCAGAGAACTCGTGAACAACATGGGTAAACGGTACGAAATTGACGAGCACCTCATCGAGACATGCGTTTCATTCAGCCTCAGACAGCTCACACATCGCGACAAGTACGTCCTAACGACATGGTAGCAAGGCAGCTCGGGGGAACTGCCGAGAGCTGGGTTTCATTCCGCTTAAAACACCTCTCGCCTCAATAATATATAACAAGTACGACAATACGTTGGATTGTTAGCCTTTTGCCAGACCGACCCCATGCTCACTGCAAAGTGATTATTTCTAAACTATTTGACCAATTTTCGTGACATTTTGCATGCATCTCGGCAGATAGTTACGCTATAGCAAAACGGCATTGGGTACACTCTCGATGACTTCATTAGATTAATAAAGACTTCATTACGACAAAAAGTTGGACATTTTGCCTTTTCCCGACTGACCCCATGCTCACTTAAAAGTCAATATTTCTAAACTATTTGACCGATTTTCATCAAATTTTGCTTGCACCTCAGTAGTAGTATACACAATGGTGGAACTGGATTAGGGACTTATCCAAGGCCTTAATTTGGTCCTAGTTGACCATCCTTCCCGTTCACAATAGAACACGTGACATCCTAGTCGACCATCCTTCCCGTTCACAATAGAAACACATGACGCCTTACATGACAGGATAATAACACGTGACATCCTTGTCCATCCTCCTTCCTGTTCACAATAGAACACGTGACATCCTTGTTGGTCCACCTTCCCGTTCACAATAGCAACATGTGACAGCCTATTCGACCATCCTTCCCATTCACAATAGCAACACATGACATCCCACTCGACTCTCCTTCCCATTCGCAACAGGCCAATTTGATGACACAATACACAAGAAAACAGCCCATGCTTTGGCAGGTAATGATGGCCCTCCAAAAGAGAAGAGAAATGAAATAGGGTACCATCTCGCTACAACACAAAATGAACTCAACCCGTGATTCACAGTAAGATTTGGTAGCCCAAGTGTTTGAATGTTCCGTTATTCATCGATGACTGTTCCTCAAGCTGACTGCCACGGAATTACAGTATTTGTGGCTCCATCAAAGACTATTGCTAATAGCGGTATGACATCTCACAATAGGTTGGTTGGTTGTTTAACAGAGCACTCAGCAAATATTCCAGCTATATGGTGGTGATCTGTAAATACGCCAATCTAGACCAAGACCAATTCTAACCCGGATCTTCACGGGTGCCTGACAATAGGAGTACAAAAAACCCTAGGCAACTTGCCTTTCTATGAATTTTTAGAAAACACTACAAAATATGTACTTACATCCAGTGCATGTCGCTCCATAATATCCGGGCCTGCATGTACATCTTCCTGGAGACGTGCAGGTCCCACCGTTAGCACACTGCGGGTAACAGATTGCTGAAAGAACACAAAGTGCACAAAATTAGAAGATTATTGTCAATTGTTCTTTAAACAAATTCAGAACAACCTATCACATGGTCTACAATTGTTCTGAAACGACAACAGAGAAGTAGACAACCGTGGTATTAATCCATGATCTTTTTGTTCAACAGAAAAGTAAAAAGTGATAGATTTGTAACAGTAATTACGTCTGTTGCAGTTTTGGTTTCCATTGTAGTCGGTCCACCCGGCACAGCACTTATAACGCGAGGTATAAACGGCTACAGTTACAGATGCATGGCCACAACACCTGAAACAGAAATAGTTTTCATCTCGTCAATAATTTAATTACGAGATTGTAGAACTACCATCGGGAGTGTTTTCTACTGACGTTTCTGAGTCACTGAATGTTTGAGGTAAGCCAACCTGGCTATACCTTTTATAAATTTCTTAAAATTCTCTGCTGGATACATGGACGGAAGTAACACCAAAACGTATCATAACAGATGCAGTTGTATCAATGCTATAAACTAATGCCATGACATTTGTCAGGTTCCTATCCTTTAAAAATTAATCGCGGGTGTACAATTTCATTCAGAAACACTAAACAACCAAACTGTTAAAGGTCATAGGTACAAGGGTCACTAACATGAAATCACAAAACAGTCTTAATTTAGATGCATTTACACCATCACAATAAGGGAGTTCACAATAAAACTTATTCAATGGATTCGGACCCGTGGGGTCCGGGGTTAGAATATTGATCTTCAGTAACCCATGCTTGTTGTAAGTGGCGACTCATGTGATCGGGTGGTCAGGCTCGCTGACTTGGTTGACACATGTCATCGGTTCCCAGTTGCGCAGATCGATGCTAATGCTGTTGATCACTGGATTGTCTGGTCCAGACTCGATTATTTACAGACTGCCGTCATATAGCTGGACTATTGCTGATTGCGGCGAAAAACTAAATTCACTCACTCAATGGATTCGGATAAACTCACCTCCACCACCAACAACGTGCTGTACAGTGTCCTCTCCGGGTTTCATAGTGAACCACGGCATGAGGACAGTGGTGTCTGAAACAGAACATTTACACTCGAGAAAACAAATCTGATCGAGAGGATGAGGTATTGAAATTATCCTTGTAGCCCTCTGGAAAGTTGTTTTTGTAATACAACACAATCTTAAATGTTTCAGTTACTACAACTATTGGACATGTTCAGGTTACTAACTGTCTCTCTCGTTTTTCTTTGCTTTGTTACACTTCTGCGTTAAGAATTTGGTTATCATCAAGTATGCACTATCTATTTTATCAATTAACTGAACTCTTAGTGACCCTAAGCAGCCTGACTGTACCAAAAAATGCTCATTTAAACAGATTATAATATGTTGGTGCAATATTCCGTCCACAGTGTGGTTGATCAATGCCCAAATTAAAGATGATAAGTCAAAAGTCCTATTCTTGAAGCTGTTTAAGATTAGCCTGGAATGCAGAAAGAGAGGAAGATTTAACTTGGTGAGAGATCTACTGTGAAGTGCCACAGGATAGCTGGTATCTTTTCAAAACCGTCTTGGGAGTGACATTTGGGACAGATTACATTTAAGATTCCTGACTTGTTGTTGCGTCACGACCAACTCCTGGAAACAGCCGGTACAGATGCATATGTGAGAGAGATCCCTTGAGGATAATTCGTGTGTCATCTGCAGCCAATACAAGAGTAATGAGTGATATCTTCTTGCAGCAATGGATCACACAAACACCAGCATTTTGCTTCAGTTGTTTGTTGAGGAGATTTTGTCTGATGTTAAAGAAGTCTCACATACGATGATGTCCGAGGCCATCTATCTTAACTGACAAGGTTTTTTTCGTTTTTAAAAATTCAGAAGATATTGAGTACTTTTACACACTCATTCTTGTGGAAATAACCTGTTATTCTGATAGATTTCCTCTTTTAATTTTTATCACCCATAAGTCTGTCATTGGGATTTTTATCGTCCACTGTGTCGTCCTCTTGTTTTCGTGAAATGAGATTAAATATTAGTTCAAATGTATCATAAAGGTGATACAAAGTTGAACTTAATTCTATGGATAGTGGATTTACCTAGAAACAATCTCTTCTGGATCAAGGAATGCTACACACTACATCATTGATAGGCTTATGTATATGTTTCTTGTCTCCATCCCTAAGGGTGTAATTTAGGTGAGCTTCAATAAATGGGATACAGCCACATGTGTCAACAAAGTCAGCAAGTAGTATACACAATGGTGGAACGGGACCACAAAGGTGTACCAAGCCTATAATGTCCAAACTATCCAATTCGGCTCCCAGAGTCACAAAAAATGAGTGTTTTTGCACAAAACTGTATTTGAGGTTTTGGCCCACTCTTTGTTTGCATTCTTTTTCTTTGGTGGTTCCCAATAGACTATCCAACCCCAAGACAGGGTTTTCGGGGAAAAAACTCACCAGTATGTCAATGCAAGTGCACTCGAATTAGAGATGCAATAGGTACATAGGTATAGAACACAACAAAATGCCCAGAACCAAGCTATCGTGCGAAGCCTATGCCGAGATCCGATCAGGTCGTTTGTCACTTTGGGAAGCGAAGAGGAAGTACCACATATCGCTATAGACCCCAAGCCACAGAAAACGACAACTATTTCCGACATGGCCGAAGTCTTCGAGAGCCTGCTGGAGAAGTGTCCCCACATATTGCTTTCGGACTGAAATACTCCATGGGGTTCTCATTCCGGTATGCAGCCTCTGCTTTGTCGAATGCCTCGAGTGGGAAGCAAAGGCGGATTTCCTCTCTTGTATACAATATGCATTGCTGCAAAAAATATGTATTTCTTTATACTATATTTCCCCATCGCGTACACATATATTTTTTCTACTTCATGTAGTGGGGGTGCCTGGGGTAGACCTTTGAAACTGGTTGGGGTGTGGCGGTTCTGCTTGTCCTGATAGCTGTCGGAACATACAAGACTCTTTCTCGCTGCATGGACAATTGGCTGCCAACTCGTCGATGAGGAATTGGTAGCACAGGCACCACGAGAGTCAATCGTCGTCGTACAGGTTCTCTACATTTGAGAGAAAGTAGTGGATTACGATTTCTTCCAGAACCTCGAGTGGAAGTCACTTCTCCTTGGGTGGTGTGAAGTCTATCACTTTGTTTTTCCAAAGAACGCATTTCTTGCTGTTGACACAGTGGTCGATGGTGCTGCACTTGCACATAGAATTATCTCGCTTGAAGAGAGTTGGGAGTTCCAATAGAGCAGCCAGGCAGTCGGTGCATCAGTGGTGTCTGTCCTTGTGTTCCGGTCAACAGTAGTCATCCACGAGAACGATGTGGAATTTGCCCGCCGCGGGGCAAAATTAGTTGGGTGGGTAGAGGTAGACGAAATCAAGTATTTTGCCGTCTTCTCACGAATGGGGAAAGTACAGTTATTGTCGTCGGAAGTTATTATCGTCTGTGGCTCGGTGTCTATACCACCTCGGATTCGCGAGTATCGGGCTTGTGATATGTGGTACTTCCTCTTCGCTCCCCAGAGGGACAAACGACCCGATCGGATCTCGGCATAGGCTTCGCACGATAGCTTGGTTCTGGGAATTTGTTGTGTTCTATACCTATGTACCTAGTGTACACTTACATCGACATACTGGTGATTTTTTTCCCTGTCTTGGGGTTGGATAGTCTATTGGGAACCACCAAAGAAAAAGAATGCAAACAAAGAGTGGTCCAAAACCTGAAATGCAGTTTTGAGTCTGGGAGCCGAATTGGATAGTTTGGACCTTATAGGCTTGGTGCACCTTTGTGGTCCTGTTCCACCATTGTGTATAGTACTACATCTTACGACAAGCATGGGTTCCTTAAGAACAATTCTAACCTGGATCTTCATGGGTTTTAGCTTGGGGTGAATGGGTTAAAATAATAGACACCTTCATCTAAGGGATATCTAAATAATTTAAGAACTGATAGTAGCAGATTTACGCAAAGTGTGCACATCGGCTTTTACGTTTATATCCTCATAAACGCAAAACGCTAATGAAGTTTATTCTTATAACTAAAGAAAGACAACAATAATAACTTCACAGACTGCAAATGAAAACATTAACAATAAAAGCCCAAATTGATGAGAACCGAACGAAATGAATGGCATCATTCAGAATGGATTAAAATAATAAAACAACTACATCTTGGGGATATCTAATTAATAACAAAATGATTTACAAACAATTGTTTGGTCGATTTTTAAATGCCACTTTCAGCAATAAGTATTCCGGTGTGTAAACCATCAGGTCTGAATCAGACAATCCATTGAGTGGCACACACCGCTGAGATAGATGATAGCTGATTCTAAAATAGATGAAAAGAACGTAGCAAGGTCATGTGCCCATAATTAGGATGATTTTACCAATTCAAAATGATATAATTTACACAAAATAGCATTTGTAGTGCATGAGTATTTATCAGGAATCTAGCGGCTTATCCCCGGCCTACCATATATGTTTTAGGTTTAATATTTAAATTTTTTAAAGTTCAAGTTTCTGTGGAACAATTCAACACAGTCAGATTCATTTATCAAAATGGACGTGTTTCCCCATTTCTTAAAACTTAATGTGATGACTCAACTGTGTTATTTGTTCCTGGAAACAAGGGATAGATGATGCCTGCATCATCTGCAAATGGGGATAATACCAGATCACGGTTATACCTTGGTGACAATTTTCAGTCCTGGTGTTTTCAACAAACATTGAAAACGAAAGTTCACCTTCAAGTGTTGATTGTTTATGCTATTGAACAGATACTTTTACTTCTTAATCTTCTACCATATATTGTCACATCACAATAATCACTAGCTGAAAACCGCGTTCTCAATGTGATGAGATATGTGGTGTTTATGTTTTTTTGGAACAGGTCGACTGAAGCGAATGGGTCGAGTAAAGAAATACATTCATGAGTGTATCATGATATTCAGGATTCAATATACTACTCACAATTTGTGTCATAGAAAGTTTGATGAACACGTGCAAGCATGTTTTTGTACTGCCGTTGGTGAACGATACATTGTTAAAAGGACATGTAGGCAGTGCCATATATACATTTGCACGTGCATTTTATGCTATTAGATGAGCATGCAACCTCACGCTGTCAGCTCACACTTTGTGTGTGTATTGTTGATGAAGGTTTTGACATTTCGTTACGTTTGTCATTACTTTTAACACTCGTAATACCTCCTCAACGTCAAAGATGTCGTTTGATGTCAGAGCAATTGGGGATATGCATGCTTGAATCAGGCTTCTTACAACGTAACATTACCAATGCACTAAATGTCAGCCAAAGCATTGCTAGCAGAGTGTGAAACCGGCATCAACCGTCATGATTGTGGTCGTCAAAGCTCGACTACACAACGACAAGACTATTTAATCACCGTTCAGGCATGACGTCATGCCTGACAGCCACCAGCCTCCGAGATGACCTCAACGCGTTAACGTATCCACCCAGACAATACGGAATCGTCTTCATGCAGCTGGCCTAAACTCCAGGAGGGCATGTGTTCGCATCTCATTGACCATACGTCACAGGCGGGAACGTTTGATTTGGGCTCATGATCATGTCACTTGGACACATAACGACTGTGCACAGTTCTCCTTACTGGCGACAGGCGTTCGGTACTGGGATGAAATCCGCAATGTGTACGTGAGACCCTTCACTGGTGCCGTTGGTCCAGAGTTCATCTTTATGGACGTTAACGCCCGTCCAAGGTGGTGGATAGGTTTCTGGAAGAGGAAACACTTGTCCATATGGAATGACGCAAGCCCTATTGAACAAGTGTGGAACATGCTAAAGGTTGCCCTTTCTGGAAGTCAGGCACAACCCGGGACTCGGAAGAACTCGGAAAACCCTGGTCGAGGTATGGAATAACCTTCCAATGGGAAGCATCCGGGTTCTTATTGCCAGCATGAACCATCGATGCCAAGCTGTCATTCAGGCACGGTGAGGTCACACTCGTTACTGACATTAACTTTGAAATAGCTAAAATCAAAGGTCATATTAAAAAAAGTCGGAATTTCAA